GAGAGAGAGAGAGAGAGAGAGAGAGAGAGAGAGAGAGAGAGAGAGAGAGAGAGAGAGAGAGAGTTGATGTCAGAGAGGAGGAGGGAGATAAGGAGAGAAATGTTTCCTACCATCTTTCCCTGAACACAACGCTCCAAAGGACAGTATTCGACCGGACTTCTAGCTTGTACACATTCATGATGAGTGTGCGCCGTGTTCGGGGGCAGACAGACATTGCTCTGTCGATCTTTCAGGCATTTTGATTCTATGTTCATTGACCTCCATTCCATGTATGAATCATGACATAAGACGTGTCAAGCTTGAGAGTGATGAGATGGGGGAGATGGAGAAGATGATTATTTAGTGATTCTCGTCTCTTTCTGATAAAACTTCTCGTGTTCTTGGCTCCCTTCTTCATCATTCTCTTGAATATTGCAATTCCCTTCATGTCGTTTCTTCAACTGGCCTAAGACAGTTGGTACACCCCTGAACTGTTGAAACGCTGACCTGAGTTCGAACTCCGGTGGAAGCAAAAAAAAAAAAAAAAAAGAGAAAAAAAGGAACTAGTTGAAACACAGACCTGAGTCCGAACTCTGTTGGAAGCAAAGAAATAAAAACAGTGAAAAAAAACGAACTAAGCAATAGTACGGATCATAGCAATAGCAATAGCAACAAGTAAGCCATACCAAACTGCCTATAACAGCAAGGATCATAGCAATAGCAATAAGTAAGCCATACCAACCTGCCTATAACAGGATGGGATGATGCGATAGCGCAAGTAGTGTGTGCTTTCACCACACACAACACACTGATTGGATTTGCTCTGGATGTAGAACTCGTTGTTTTCGTCTTCTGGTCTGCCCTTTGGCTCGAATAGAAGCCTCACAGCTGGTGGATCCTCGCCGGTCAGCTCTGCCAACCCTCTCTGTACGTACCTGTACTGAGTAGAAATGCCACAGCCACATACACGTAGGAGAGGAAGAAATTGAAACAGTGCAAATTCAGAAATGCGAACCACCGTTCTCTCCCCCCTCTCCTCCCCTCCCCCCCCCCCCCCCCCCACACACACACACAGCCTTACAGTGTGGATCAATGTTTTTCAGACCCCACAAATGTGAAAACTTGCTACACCTGGTCTATACTGATACACATGGTCTATATTGCTATACCTGGCCCACACTGCTACACTTGGTCCTTTTTTTTTTCCTCTTTTGAACATTTTGTGGGTGTACCAACTGATCTAAGCCCGTTGGTACTTGGTCCATATTTCTATACCTGGTCCATAGCGCAAAAGGGCCGCTCTACCCACATCTTTTGAAGTTTTAACTTTTACGGGCATTCCAGAATTTATGTCATCGTTTATTTACGGGTAGATCGCAAAATCTCCAACGCTAAACAAAAATCAATTACTAAATTATAATAATTTAATAATAAATGAAATTTAATGAATTAAATTAATTGCAATACCCCGCTCAATATGCCCTGAAGTGGCCGTCAGGCCACACGCAGGCCGCGACCCCGGTCTGAGGCCGCAAAGACCAAGGGGAGAAACCCCCCCAAATTGGCCTCACGGCCTGTGCGGCCGACAGTTGACTTCGGCCAACTGCCCAGCGGCCCAAGAGTCAAAGTCTGCATGGACCCAGCCCAGGCCGCCGGTCAGACACACACACTTGTTTGTATGCAGGTACCAAGACAGGATTCGAACCAAGTGGANGGTCAGACACACACACTTGTTTGTATGCAGGTACCAAGACAGGATTCGAACCAAGTGGAAGTCTACAACTGTATGCGATCCAGGCCCTCGGCTGCAAGTCAATCTGCGCCACCATGAGTGGGAGACCTGAGGCCGCTCAACCTCGTCAAACACTACATAAGGCCCGGCCTCCAGGGAGTCGACATTCAGTCTTGCTATGCTGACTTGACGCTGGCTTGACACTAGCTGGACGCTGGCTTGACGCTGGCTGGACGCTGGCTCGATGCTGGCTGTACGCTGGCACTGTGGACGACGAGCGAGGCTGCTGCTTGCTTGCTGGCGCCTTCCTGTCTTGGCGCCAGCCTCTGCTGACGTGGCGCAAGCCACGCTGTCTTGGACATTGCTGACATGGCATATGCCACATTGTCTTTAATGCTGATTTGGACGTGACAAGGAGGGAGATCGGGATCTGTGGATGACTGGGAGAGAGAGAGGATACTTACCTGCTGTTGATGTCGATACTGTGCGCTGCTGAACGTCTTCATGAGAGAGCTGTGCCACGTGGCACTCTGATGTGATCAGGACCTGTCTGGCTCATTGTATCACAGATCATTTTCACAATTATTGGAGACATTACTGAGCACTGAGTTTTCTTGTACTTTGACATTTGACGAGTAGTATTTTCCAGACTGGGTTCATTACATAATAATAGGGATAGGGATGAAAACCTCACCAGTCCAGTTTCTTCTTATCACAGAAGCACAGGAGTCTTCCATCGCCAGCATAGATCCTGCAGAGAGACACATGCGGCAAAATGGAAATATTCCACATGGTAAAAAGCAGAACTGTCTTCGAAAACACTGCTCTGGTTGAAACTTGAGAGCTGAAAGTAACACAATCATCCCTCCCATCACAAGATTACCCATTTCTTTTCTTTCTTTTTCTCTTCTTTTTTTAATCTTTTTTTTTCTCTCTCTCTCTTTTTTATTCTCTTTTTTTATTTTCTTTTTTGAAGTTTTTTCATTCTCTTTCTTTATTCTCTTTTTTATTCTCTTTTTTCTCTCTTTTTTTTTTTTCTTCTTTTCTTTTGGGGGGTGGGGAACATATGTTAATGGAAATCCACTCGAGGCCTGAGGGACCTCACGTTTCTGCTAATCTGGAATGGATAAGGTGTCATTTTCACCCCAATTACTGCGAGAGAGAGAGAGAGACCAAATGGAGAAAGGAAACCAGTTTCCGAAGCAGACTAGCAATAGGACTTTCCGCTCCGTATCTGACCACAATTACGGCCAGAGCTGGATGAATCTGACCGCAGTCACGTCCATAGCTTAGTAGAAATAGTCCTACTGTGAGTATGCCCTCAGGCGCAGGGGTGGCATTTTACCCCACCTGAACACCATCGACCCTGCGCCGGCTTTGATTGCAAGTCTGCAACCCAGAGGTAAATAGTAACTACTAAATAGTAAATACTAAATACTAAAATAAATAAATATAAATTTTAATAAATAGATAAATATTTTAAATTTTGAAACAGATGCGAGGCACAAGGCCTCGGTAAGCCCTACTGGGTCCTGTTATCAGCAAGGTCGGCCGCCCTCGTGAAGGCAGGCCCGACCTAAGCCTATTTTGGACTACCACGCAACTGGGGAAGCGCTACACACAGGAAGGGGCCTAGCGCTACACACAGGAAGAATGCGCCAGGTCCAGACCATACACAAACAAAGAGGAGGGGATCAGACGAAGAAGAGGGGGAAGATGGGAATGTCGTCAACACCAAGTCTCCGGTACAAGTCCCAGATAATCCCTCGTCAAATGTCTGAAGCCCATTGTCAAGTCTGGATCCAAATGTCACCAATCCCGCTCTCTCGTAGTCTGCTGATGCAGTGAAGTCAGGTAGCGAGAGGGTGAGGGGGAGATGGTGGACTGAGAAGAGGAAGAAGAAGAACTCTCTCTCTCTCTCTCTCTCTCATGTGCCAGGTACTAACCTGTGAAGATGGCGCTGTGCTGCAGGTACCTCGATGACGAGCTGGAGCTATGGCGCTGCAGGTAAGTCTGCCTGGCCTCCGCCCAATCTCTCTCTCCAGTGCTACTCTAGCTCCTAATAGCGCCCAGCGCTGAAGACTACTGCTAACACTACTACTACTACTACAGTGCTCCTCCAGAGTGCTGCTGCCGAATCCTGAAGACTACCTCTTGCCTCCTGAACTGCACGTGAAGTGCCTGGGAAGTCCCTACAAACTACTTGCAGCCTGCAGGGCGGGCCAGTCTTATATAGTGCTGGCGCGTCCAGGAGGCTGCTCTTGCCAATGCCAAAACGTGCCAGACCCTGGCATTGAAGTTCAAACAAAGGTTGTCTTGAAAACAGGCCCAAAATGGCCTGTGCTAAAACCCTGGTCTGGTGCCTAAGTTTCAGGGCAGGTCGATCTTATGAGAGCCTGAAAATGGCCCTCCGTTTCAGGCTGAAAAGACTCAGGGCCTGGAGGGCCCTGTTTCAGGCTGAAACAACATGGGGCCTGTAGGCCCTTGTTTTCAGGCTTTCAGGCTGAAACGACCCAGGGCCTGAAAATAGCCCTCGTTTGCAGGTGCAGCATGTAACACCGCCCCTTTGACAGACCTGACCCGCCTTGACACCCCATGGGAGTGGACGGACAAGTGTGAGGCTGCCTTCAGACACCTGAAGCATGCTCTGATGCACCATGAGGTCTTGAAACTTCCTGATCCTGACAAGCCATTTATAGTAACCACGGATGCTAGCCAATATGGCATAGGCGCCGTGCTCGCGAAGTAGGAGGGGCGAAAGTTGAGGCTTGTTGAGTACATGTCCAAAAAGATGCCCTCTCAGAAGTTGGCCAAGTACACTTATGAGAAGGAACTCTACGCGATCTATAAAGCGCTAACCCACTGGAGGCACTACCTTCTTGGGAGGTTCTTCTACGTCAGGACTGATCATCAGACCCTGAAGTGGATAAGAAACCCAGCCAGTGCTCTTTGATGCGTTGAAACGATGGATGGAAGTCATTGAACAATATGACTTCGAACCTCAGTGTGCATCAAAGGAGAGTATAATAGAGTCGCTGATGGGCTGTCGCGTAGGCCAGACTTCCTTGGTGCGCTAATCACTGAGTTTGGGCTTGCGGATGATGTTACTCGTTCTTTGGTGGAAGCCTATCGCGAGGATCCGTTTATGGCTGAGATCATACGCAGACTCAAAGCGAAGGACAAAGGGACTTCTACCGAGTTTCAGTTGGTCAATGGCCTGCTGTTCCTTCAGGAGGCCGGGAATAAACGCTTGTGTGTGCCTAATCGGGAGTCTTTGCGTAGTTTAGTTTTAGGAGTGTCATGATGCCACATGACATTTTGGCTACAAAAAGACTGCACCCATTTTGCTGCAGCAGTTCTGCTGGCCCACAATGATGAGAGACACCAAGCTGTACGTGGAGACTTGTCAAGTATGTCAGAGAGACAAGCCACATACATAGGCCCCTCTTGGGCTTCTCAAGCCCCTTCCGATATCGGAAGGGCCCAGTGAGAGCCTGTCCATGGATTTCATGGACACGCTGGTCACCAGCAAAAGTGGAATGCGATAGGTCTAACGTGATTAAGCTATTCAAAGAAAACTGGTTCAGAGACTTCGGCTTGCCAAAGTCTATAATTAGTGATCGGGATATGCGAATTACCAGTGAGTTGTGGAAGGCCCCAGCTGCAGAACAAGGGACACAACTGCAGATGACCTCCGACAATCACCCAGAGGCAAATGGACAAGCAGAGCATCTGAACCGCGCTGTTCAACACCTGCTGAGGCATTACATCAAGCCCAACCAGGCGGACTGGGATGAGAAACTTGCTCTCATCGCCAGTCTGTATAACAATGCCGTGCACAGCGCAACCCGGGTGATCCCCAACAGTTTACTACTGACTTTCAAACCTAGACTGCCCTTAGATTTTCTACTACCTGAGAATCAGCCTTCCGCTGCACCAGGCACCCTGGAGTTTGCATATCGATATGAGCGCCTGATGCAGCAAGCTGTAGAACAGATGCACAGGGCACGGGCGGCGATGATAGAGTCTGAGAACAAGCACCGCCGCCCATCTACACTCCAGGTAGGGGACAGAGTCCTGGTCAAGTCCTCAGAACTGGGACAAGAGCACAAGATATGTCGTAAGCTCATGCCACAGTACTTTGGACCCTGGGAGGTTCTAGATATTATCGGGGATGATCCGGATGGGCCGTCATATGTAGTTCAGATCCCTGGTCACCTTCACACTTACCTTGTCTTTCACACCTCCAAGCTTGCACCTTTCGAGGAAACTGATCAGTTTCCCTCGCGACGCTCAATGCTGCCCCCAACCATGGATGGAGAGGTCGACATCGACGACATCGTGGACCATAGTGAAATGCCAGTTCCAAGACTGACAGGCAGAGGACGTCCTCCCAAGCCGAAGCTGCAATATAGCGTTTGGTTCAGACATCACATTGATCCTGAAGAGGACAGATGGTTTACCCCGGGGGAACTGATGGAGACCGCTCCACAGGCTGTCGCTCACTACGAGAAGTTACTGCAGAAGGGAAGGCCCCAGATTGAGTAATGGAACTTCTCACAGGACTGTCGAAGTATGGAGGAGGGAATGCGAGGCACAAGGCCTTGGTAAGCCCTACTGGGCCCTGTTATCAGCAAGGTCGGCCGCCCTAAGTGAAGGCAGGCCCGACCTAGGCCTATTTTGGACTACCACGCAACTGGGGAAAATTCAGGCAGTTGCGCAGCGCCAGTTGGTTGAAAGTGCCCAGGCCCAGGCTGCCTTTATTGTATGTAACTGAGGCAGGCCCTGGGCCAGATACGCAACATGGACCGAACACAGGCCGAGGGCAGTTGGGCACGGGTAACCGGCCCAACTGGTCTCATGTGTATCATGCTGCTTGGTTTCTGAAGTTCGCTATCGCTCATTTTCCTTGCACAGATAAATAATTTAAAATAAAGTGTAAGCTGCAAAGTTATGCAAGCTTCTTTCAAAAGAATCAAGGACCACTTGCCATTCGGTTTGTTTCAGAATTTCTCGACTTGCGCATGTCATCCTCATGCAAGGTGCCATGCTAATCTTTTTTTTTTTTTTTTCCCTTCGATTTGTGCGCGTCATCCTTGCGCAGCAGCGCAGGGGCCACACTAATCTTCTCTGCATCGTTCCAGTTCTAACAGATGTCCTGAAGGACGGGTGCCATGCTAATCTTTTCTCTCTAAATCCTTAAATTTTTAATGGATGTCCTGAATGACAGAACAAGATGACTATTGTTTCTCTGAAGGATTCGAACTCATGACCTCAGGCTACCTACCTACCTCAGGCTACCTGTCTATTTGGAGGTCCACCCATCTTTCTGCCAACGGCAGTATGACTGTTGTTTCCTGCAGGATTCGTACTCATGACCTGTATGTTTTCAGGCACGAGTGTGCTCCTATGCATCTTTCCACCAACCACCAGAATGTATTCCAAAATTGAAAATTCTTTTTTTTTTTTTTTTTTTTTTTTTTTTTTNTTTTTTTTTTTTTTTTTTTTTTTTTTTTTTAATCTTTGTGGCCCAATGGACCACAGATCAGATATTAAACTGATCAGAACAGATACTACACTTGATCCATTTTTAGCCAAAAGGCCTGACTGGATTTTTAGCCCAATGTATTCCAAGAAAACATTTCCTCTTTTCGCACCCTCATCGCCTAACTAGTGACCAGTTCAAAATTTCTTCGCCTGTTTTTTTTTTTTTTTTTTTTTTGCCTGATGGGCGTAGCGCCGTAGGCCCTA